CGTATATATTATATATATATATATATATATATATATATATATATATATATATATATATATATATATATATATATATATATATATATATATATATATTAGATTCGCCCTGGAATCGAGGTGGACGCGGGGTCCGATCGGCGGTACGTTGCTTCACCTTGTTTATCCCGCGATTATTTAGTCGCTGATTTATCGGAAAGGTTTTCCAGACGCGCAAATGTGTGAAATGTGTTCGACATGTTTCTGACCTAAGTAAAGCGTAAAAGGGGAACGAAGATCGTCTTCGTGGCTCGACATTGAACGCGCACATGTATGTATGTTCAACCACGCGCCGCGCGCTTGTCGTTCTTGGACGCTTTAATGTTCCTCGTTTATGCACGATAAATAAATAGAATAAGTGACTCGGTTATATGATCGACTCGCTCCGACCGTCGATCGCGCAAACATTCGTCGTTCGCATTTATATTATCACGTACAGTGTACGTGATAATGCAAATGCCGCGCGAACGGAATGTCCGCGTCTCACGCTGCGGATTTAGAAAAAAGGAAAGAAAAAAGAGATACGATCGCGAAATAAATGCAAAATTATTGACTCCTGAGACATACGGGCCGCCTCCGTAAACATATTAGTTAAGGTCAGCCGACGTCGTTTAACTCCGATTCTCCGTCTCCTTTCGATTCCGAATGCCAATTGGCACGTGTGATAAAACGTTCGTGCAAAAATACGGAAAAGAATTCGGATGTCTATCATATTAATTTTGGCATGGCGTTCGCTGTTCTCATATTGATTCTTTTTTTTTAAATTTTCTGTCGCTTAGCGACGAATAATTCTTGTAGTCAAAATCATGCATTGCGAGACCAAAATTATGATTATGTCAACATTCGAATACGTGTGCGCTATGCATTTTACGAAATAATTCTCGTTCTCTGTCTCTTCCTTCTCTCTCATTTCCTCCTTTTTTGCTTGGCGTTAATAAACAAGTTCATTTGCAATAACTTTGATCACAATTTTTTATATTTACATTTTTTTTATGATTTTTTTTACAATCTTTTTATCATCTTTTTACAATTTTTTTTTACAATTACTGTTAATTAATAGTGTACATATAACTTTTATGATAAAAATATAAAGATAATTGAAATTATGAACTCGTTAGCGTTTCGCAATTTCTAACTTCTATTCTATGATGATCATCTTATGACCAGTCCTACCAATGTCTTCTAATTTTAATCTCAATTTAATTTATTTTTTATTTTTTTCTAATTCTTTAATTAAATTAAAAAAGAATAGAAAGTAAGTTAAACTGAGATTAAAGTTACTTTAGTAGGAATAAACATTAATCAGATGCAATACACAGAATCGCGTAATATATACAAAGTACATTATTGTTCTTATATATAATATCTCTGCTCTCTCTTCATGCATCTTCTGATTTTCTCTTCTTCTCTTTTGTCAGGACGGCATGGTTTATATATGACGAGTCCTTCCGACCTCCTTCCGAAGAAATACAACACTATCACGATAAACTATGTTTCTTCTTCTTCTTCTCTTTCTGAACGCAACAGCACATCGCTATCTATCTCGAAGTCTACGACTATATGTTTTTTTCTTTATTCCGTTATACTTCTCTCACCGTGTCCTTGCATCGAAGAAAACACATCTGATATTCTTTGTGTTCCGAATGAAAAAGATAACTTTTTGTGATATCTTGAAGGTTACGTTACCCATAAACTTTTCAATAGTAGTTTGCAAGATAAAACGATAGTGTTAAGGGCAACTTTGCCGATGTATCTTAATCCGCGTGCCATATATGCGTTGATTCAGTCGGAGAGGAAGAACAGTTTTCGAAATTTTAGCTCTCGAACGAAGAGACAACTTTCTTTGCGCATTTGTACGAACCGCGATATCGATGTTATCTTTCCGCTGTGCATTAATATTCGGAACAAAAGATGAAGTTCGAATTAAAACGTCACGTTACGTCGATTATTATTGTCCGCCGATATATCGGAGAGAAGACGCGCTCTGGGCTCCTTATTTTGAATAAAGAATAAATTTATTCCGACCTCTCTAAGACCCAAGATATTGCATATTTACAAGCGC